GGATAAGATCAATCATTTGAATAGGACAAAATAGGATTCGATCGATCGAAGGTGATGTTCGATCGATCGAACTTGGAATTTCAGCAAAGGCCAAGGTTGGATCTATCGAGAAGTACTGTGATCGATCATAGATGTTCGATCGATCGAACTCTAAGTTGGATTGATCGAACTTTTCAGCTGCACAACTTGATTCCTTTTTACTCCTTTCTTTCTCCACTTTGCTCCCTCCTTTAGTTTATCTCGGGATTGCTTCAATTAAGCTCTTATTTGGCTGAGTTAGCTCAATTTTTGGATTAGTGCCTGAAAATATAAATAACACGTAATAAGTCTAAAACGGCAAAGTAAGATAGATAAGGGTACTAGAATGCTTAAGCTTAACGGGTTTAAATACGCACTTTTCAGTGTTCATCACACCCCCAAACTTAAATATTGCTAGTCCCTAGCAATGAACTAAGAAGTAAAGGAATGAAATAAACAACTATACAAGTATAAACTGGAAAGCAAGTAAAATGATAACACCATTTTCGTAGGGAACACGATTGCATTTAGCATATGCAACAAGCCTTTTAAACCCCTAGGTTACCCCTAGTGGACGAGTAAAGTCTCGTGAGGGTTTCCAGAAATGGTACCCACAAACATTAAGCTCATTCTTTCAAAAGAGGCACCAATATTGCAAACAAACATTGGGAGAAAACTACCTCAAGTATGCAATTTTTCAACCGTTTCTAAGCAATCTCCCAAAATTTCAATATCAAGCAAGCAAGTATGGTCCTCCACATATCAAGAAAATGATCATGAAAATTGAAACAAGTCTAGAATCCATGTGAGAGGTCCGGCATCAAGTGTGTTGCTATCTTAGCCAACTAAAGAAGTAATCACATCCTTACCCTCAAACTAGCACACAAATCTAGTACCGATCATCAAGATAAGAGAGTGGACCTTTTATTAAAGCTTTATTGTTCTAGGTGCGCTTATTCTTTTAACTCATTTTCTTCTTCTTTTTTTTTTTTTTTTTTTTATTGAGGATCAAAGATGGAAATATTGTGCAATGTGTTGATCTCTTAAGCTTTCTAGAAGATTCATGTAGCGAGTTTTAGGTCAATGACTCCCAAACCAGATGGCTTTAGGGCATTAGGTGTTAAGACACCCCAACAGACTTACAAACTCAAATCAACTAGGCTACAAATCAAGACAACAACCATCTAATCATTTCCCACTTCTCGCCTTTTGGGAGAAGTCCTCACTTTTATTGCTTTTTGCAACTTCTTTTTTTTTTTTTTAATCAATTATTAACCTAGAGTTTGGGCCCTCCACCTTTCAGCGCGAGAAGTTCACTGCTTAATGAGGCAAGAATCCCGGCCACTCAATGAAAAGGGGTTGTTATCCACCTTTATCAAGAATGAAAACTTTCAATGCACTACTAGCCCAATTGGGATATAACAAATTCAATAATCAAGAAAGCATGTACCCCACAATTGAATGCTAGCGTGCGCCGGTGCTAGTGTAGAATCCTAGAATGAATCTCAAAACAATCACAGAATCAAGATGATATGGACCACAAGTGCAAGCATGATATTAATATTTTTTTTTTTTTTTTTGAAAAATTGACTCCTAAATAGCATTCAAAAGGCATACAAGGAGTATTGGACTCTCAAGTGAAGCAATTTTTAAATTTTAAGTAATATAATCCTCAAAAGATCAAAATCATAGCTAGAAATGGACCAAGTATAGAAATATCCCTCAAATACACAAAACATGCTCAAAATTTGAATTTTAAAGCAACACTGAAACATACATCAATACCCCCAAACTTAAACTGCACATTGTCCTCAATGTGTGAAGAGAACAAAGGAAAGAGTATACCAGTGCTTTAGACATGAATGATCGGGATAGAAGTATCCAAAGTGGGTGGCATGGCCCCCCCAAACTTGGGATAAACTGTGGTCCTGAAAAGTTTGCACTCGGATAAACTCCTTAGATAACAAGATAGGATAATCAGTGCACAGTGGACATGCAAGTGTAAAATGGGATAAATAGAGAATAGAGAGAGAGGTGTAAGAGTGGTCCTGAAAAATTGGGCAGCACTCTCTCACTGAAGTCACTGTGGTGTACCTGATAGAGTCAAACATACAAATATGAGATACTAAGAGATATCCATAATCAAAAAGCAATAGATAGAGAATATAAAGTGCAGGTACATCAATAAAATAATAAAGCCGACAGACCGGCCGCAAAGTATAATGCAGTAACTGTGACAGTATAATACAGATCCAGAATAAAAGAAATGAAAGCATAGAACAACTGGAAGTGGAGTCTCAGGAGGCCTGATCATGAAGATCTGCAGTGGCTGGAGGTGCAGGGAGTCGGCTGGAGAGAGACTTAGGGTTAGGGTTTGTTTCGAGGTTGGATCGATCCAAGTGTATCGATCCAACTCGGTTTTATTTTAAAAACACGATATGCAGAGTTCGATCGATCGAACCTAGGTCTCCACTCTAAATTTTTTTTTTTTTTAATTTTGAATTTGAATTTTGAATTTTGAAAAATCAAAGGAAATTAAATTAATGAGATGCAAATTTCGATTGATCGAAGAAAGATTTCGATCGATCGAAGAGGATAAAGAATGTACAAATTTAAGGGCTCAAGAGTTGACACGTGTTGGAACCTTGGATCGATCGAACTTGGAATTCGATCGATCGAACATGAAAAATTTTGAAAAGTCTCGAGAGCATACATTTTTGAAAAATGGATAAGGCCTAAAAAATTTTCTAAGTGTTGGGACTCATGATCGATCGAACCACATGTTGGATCGATCGAAAGGTAGTTCGATCGATCGAAATGGTTTACGATCGATCGAACTTTTGAAAATTTGGAGATCCCGAGAGCATGCATTTTGGAATTTGGATGCAGGTTCAAAATTTTTCTAAATGTTAGGTGCAAAATGAGAGCTGGATCGATCGAGTCCATAGTTGGATCGATCGAACCAAAACTTGGATCGATCGAAATTATGCCTAAATGCTCAAAATGACTTGAATGCTCATGCAATCCCTTACTCAGTTCCTTCCAATGTATATGAACCACAAAAACAGTATCTAGACTTCGCAAGAATCAAAATGCAAGATAGAAATGAGGGAGGAATAGGGTTTTGACATCCTACGAGTTTCGGTGCTAGTCTTTAACATCTCTAGCAAGACCTTGGACTCTTTCAGCCCAGATCAAAGATTTTGTGATGCATCCCCTCCTTTTTGGGTTGAGAAATGTTTTGAGTTCCACCCAACAAATGGTTCTTGGAAGAACTTGTTGGATTTAATGCATTCTGGAGAGTGAAATCCCAAGTGTCCTAGTGTTTTGCCACACACTTGCATGTGGTGGGCATTTTAGTGCAAAGAAGACCGCCCTAAAGGTTCTTCAAAGTGGGCTCTTTTGGCCCACTATTCATAGAGATGCCTACAACTTTTGCAAGTCGTGTGAGAGGTGTCAAAAGATGGGAACAATGTCTAAAAGAGATATGATGCCATTAACCAATATATTGGTTGTTGAAATTTTTGATATTTGGGGCATTGATTTCATGGGTCCATTTCCCATGTCATATGGTTATCAATACATTCTTCTTGTCGTTGATTATGTTTCTAAGTGGGTTGAGGCTTGTGCTACCAAAACGAATGATCACTCCGTGGTCATTCAATTCATTAAATCCAATATCTTTGCTCGTTTTGGTATGCCAAGGGCTATGATAAGTGATGGAGGAAAGCATTTTTGCAATCAATTCTTGAGGCAATTATTTCTTAAGTACTCCGTCACTCACAAAGTAGCCACTCCTTACCATCCTCAAACAAGTGGATAAGTTGAAGTGTCTAACCGGGAAATTAAGCATATCCTTGAGAAAACAGTTAACACCACCCGGAAAGATTGGTCAAGAAAGGTAAATGATGCTTTGTGGGCTTACCGGACGGTATATAAGACTACCATTGGCATGTCCCCTTATAGAATTGTTTATGGGAAACCTTGCCATCTTCCGGTTGAGCTAGAACACAAAGCCTTTTGGGCAGTTAAAAAGCTCAATTTTGACCTAGCCAAAGCCGGAGAGAATAGGCTACTCCAATTGAGTGAATTAGAAGAGCTAAGGCACAATGCTTATGATAATGCCAAGCTCTACAAAGAAAGAACCAAAGTCTTCCATGATAAGCATATTGTGAAGAAGTCCTTAGAACCCGGTCAAAAAGCTTGGCTTTTCAACTCTAGGTTAAAACTCTTTCCCGGCAAATTGAGAACCAAGTGGGAAGCTCCCTATGAAATTATCTCGGTTGCACCGCATGGAGCGATAGAGATACAAAACTTGAAGAAGGGGAACATCTTCAAGGTGAATGGGCAAAGATTGAAACCATATATAGAGGGTCAAGTCTTTCAAAGACATTTAGAGGCTGCAAATCTTATTGACCCAGTGTATGAACATATTGATGAAGATTTTGATAAGAACTTAAAAACATCTTTTGAGTTCCACCCAACAAATGGTTCTTGGAAGAACTTGTTGGATTTAGCGGCGGTTTAAACCGCCGGTATAGGGAGGCAAAAGTGCCGGTAATTCTTTTTCCGGCGGTTGGTTTAAACCGCCGGTATATCCACTGCCGGTATGTTTCACTGGCAGTTTTTAAGTAACTGCCGGTCTTGACTTAATTACCGGCGAATATCTTAACCTTCAGTATAAGATTATTAAGCGGCGGACAAAACCGCCGGTGTATTCTAAGTTAACTTTCATTGAATGGTATACTACGGCATTTCAAACCGCCGGTAATATAGATTTTTTTCACTTTTAGGGGCGATTTGAACCGCCAGTATTGTAGATTTGTTTTTTAATTTACTGCGGCACTTCAAACCGCCGGTAATGTGCTATTTTTTAATTAAAAAAATCATTATTTTTTATATATTACCAAATATTTTATTTTGTTCCATGTTCTATAAAATCAAAGATAATTTCTCAATCACAACACATCCAACAACTTAAATTTGAGATGTAACATAGAAAACAGTTGCATTAAAATTCATAACATCCATAAAATATAAGTTTTGTTTCAAAATGTCAAGTACTAATAAAGCTTCAAAAGGAAACACTAAATCTAATAAAACTTCAAAAGGAAATAATTCAAAGTAAAACATCAACATTTCATTGAGTAATGGTGAGGCTATGTGAGGGTCTTCAGAATTAATCCTTCAACTTCATCTCTCGTCTTGCTTCACATTGCCCTACATACATTTTAAATAAAAGTCATTAAACAAAGAATAATAATTGAGACAATTAACATGTTTGGATAAAATAACGTGATAATTAAAATCTATAGTGCTCACCATGGATAAAGTTTCATAACCAAAAATAAAATTTAAAGATCACCAAGTGTACTCGAGGAGCCGGATACCTTCACAATAGAATATAATTTTAATATGCACCATCATAATAGAATATAATTATAAATAAATTAGGACTTATAATATTAATATAGTTAAATGCTTACAAAGAAAGCTACAATAATTATATAAAAAAAAAGTTGCCCGTACATTAGAATTTTGATGTTCCATATGACGCAAAATCATAGCCATTTTGGCATTCAAAGCTTCATATTTTTCAACATGGTCAGCACATCTTTTCCACCATCTCCTTCATTTCTGCACAAGCAACACGTGTCTCCTCCTCAACTTGTGAGGTCCTCCTTATCAGCTGCTCCGCTTTACTAGGAGATGACCACCAAAGACTAGTTGATGTAGGTCCCAACCATACATCGGAACACGGCCCCTTCTTTCTTCTCCCCTTACTTAGGCATAAAAATCGTGGGGGGAAGGTTCATCTGGGTTAGAAGGCTAAGTTGCAGCAAGCTCTTCTAGTTGTGTCGATATACATAGAATGGATAAGGAAACACAAAAAGATAGAAAGCAACAAATATAATAAATTTTAATATTCAGATTTTACACTTAATCAAACTAAGAAATAATTGATGGTCCAAAAAAATAAAAACTTACAATCATTTTGGCAGTATGTTCATCACTAGCTTTGCCATCCTTCTTGCACTTATTATTAACAAAGCTAGCAGACACAATATTATTACCTCTGCTGTTCTATTATTATTATTATTTTTTATATAAAGCAAGTGTAAGATTTAGTTGTATTATTAACAAAGCTAGCAGACACTATACAACGCAGACATAATTTCCAATTGTATGTGATGCTATTTCTATTATACATGTGAATACAGACAGCATAAAAGCCTCGTATTAATTCCCTGTAAAATCTCCAAATGGAATTTCAGCTTACAATTTTAAATGTTCCCTACTAAAATTTTAATCAACCATGAGTGTATGCATCTATAGATACACACACATATACATACATAAATATATGTGTGTATATTTGATCTACAAAAAGATATCAAATCTATAACAACCTAGCATATCCTATATCTCAAAATTGGCATGAGTTGTATCATCCATAAATCTGAAATAAATAAACAAAGTCACACTTCAAACTATTATGGTACAGGCAGTGACTGGGCTCATGCCTAAATCATATCCTATCTAGAATTCAATTACTGGTGTAGGGTATATATGTCTATTTCAAAGTATTATTATGTTAGGTAAAAGTACAGCAAAACAAGCATGGGATTCATACACAAGCAGAAAAACATTTTTAAATTTTATTTACCCAAAAAAAAAAAAATCTTAAGACAGAACAAAAAATTGTTTGTATAATTTTTTCATTTTCAATTCTTGAAAATCATACTAAAAAAAGTGAAGGATGTTTATACAACTTATTAAATCTAACCAAAAAAAAAAAAAAAAAATGAAGGTTAAGTAAACACACATTTTATAAAAATATTGGCCAGGAAGAAAAAAATCAATGGGATTGATTGAGTAGTTTATAGACACATTCCAAGCATGCATCTAAAATTTCATTCATTTCCCCATTAGGCATCTGAATCTGCTAAAAGAAATTAGAACTGGTTCACCAGGTAATATTCATTTGACCTGCAACTTTAATACATAAATTAACTTGAATTTCTGTCCAGCTCATAGAAAAAGCTTAGTTTTTAGGCTTTCCACTAGGCCAAGGCATCTGATCTATGTTAGAAGAAAAACAAAATGTCTTTTCAAAGGGGTGGGGAAGATTGTGTTTCCTACATGAAGAACCTCCAACAAAACAAAATGTTTTTCCAAAGGAAACCATCAAAGTCAGGAGGTATACGCACCATAATAACTTAACAATACTTCTTTAATACATTACATATAAAACATAAATACTGAAATCATTTCAAAATAATGAATCAATCTATACAAACAAGGCAGCGGTAATTAAAAAAAAAGAGAAATTAAAAATCCGATGTCCAAAATTGAAACAATTTAAAACCATTTCAGAAAATCAACACAATACAATTAAAGTCATATTCAATCTGGCTACAGTAACCAACAAGTTTGAGTAAGCCAACACATTTCCAATTAAAAGTCATAAGCAACTCTTTAATTGAACACATCTGCGCCAGAGAAGCCATGACCACAAGATTGCAATTGTGCAACGCAATCATTAGGGGATTCTTCGCTGAAAATTCTACTAAAACCTATATAATGACTTCATACAACAACCCATACCATCCAATCTAGAAATCTCTCTATGTGACTGTAAGTACGATCAAGAAATGTCTCTAAACCTTGCATTATACAGATAGAAGTTTGGAGCAGTATCATGCCCACTCGGTCTGCACCCGTAACAAGGAGAATAGAAAACAGGAAACAAGCAAGAGAGATGCATGAAAATGAAGATGCCACAAGTGTCAAAGATGGCAGGGACATGAAAACCTAGTTCCTCCACAAACCAAAAGCCCCAAAATCGGCAACAACCATACCAGACGGCATACAAGAAAGACCCATAATAAATATATGCAATTGTTCATTTTTACTTAAGAAATTAACAAAAATGGAAACTGATTCATTCATTGTGAATACAAGAAAGAGATATAGTGGAGCTCTTGAGAAGGGAAATAAGGGTTAAAAGTTCTTACAAGTTTTAGTAGCCCCACTCAACAACCACCATTGTCCAGATCTCCAATGTGCCACCAATCAACCATCGCGCCGTGCCATCAATCAACTACTGCGCCGTGATCTTCCCTGCGCCACACCAAGGACACCACCAAGATGTGTAGAATGGAGCGTCTGTGTATATAACCCAAAACCTGATTTTAGGAAAGAATAATTAATAATTATAATTAAATTATTACCGGCACTTTTTGAATAAACGCCCCAAATAATTAATAATAACCGGCACTATTAAAAAAATCGCCGGAAATAATTAAAAATTACGGGCGCTATTAAAAAACCGCCGGAAATAATTAATAATTTCCGGCAGTTTGTAAAAAACTGCCGATAAAAATATCAATAGCCGCGGTATCACAAAAAACGCCGGTAAAAATAAATTAAAAGCGGCGGATCGATTAAAACCGCCGGTGAAAATGATATTAGTTGTAGTGCGCCTTGAAGAGATGATAACCGGAAGAGTGTCGTGAGGACCTAGAAATGCATACTTAAGGTTATAAGGCAAAGTTTTTAGCTCAAAAGTTGGTGGAGATACTAAAGATGGAATCGGAGGAGTACTAGAAAGTGAAGGAAGAGGCTCAATTGGAGTTTTCCATGGTGGACAATTCAAACTTGCTACGGATTCCATTATATTGCTTACTTCATTGATTGAATTTTCATTATCAAACCCACAACTCTCATACATTTCAAGAAGACAGGAAGAGGCTCAATTGGAGTTTTCCATGGTGGACAATTCAAACTTGCTACGGATTCCATTATATTGCTTACTTCATTGATTGAATTTTCATTATCAAACCCACAACTCTCATACATTTCAAGAAGACATGAGGCAAGAGGATCATCGGATAAAAGAGATGAGAGATCATCCTCAAGCGGTTGTTTTATGATCATTGTGGGAATTGATTCCTCAACAACCTCATCTAACACATCAATAACATAACACTCATCTTCATCTATGGGATGTCGACTTGCATTGAAAACATTGAGTTTGACCAACATGTTGCCAAAAGAAAGATCCATGATTCCGGACCTACAATTGATAGTGGCATTGGCGGTGGCAAGGAATGGTCTTCCCAAGATGATTGGGATTTGGGTAGTGGAATTAGCAACCGGTTCGGTGTCTAACACTACAAAATCAACCGGAAAGTAGAATTTATCTACTTTGACAAGGATGTCCTCAACCATACCCCTAGGTGTTTTGACGGATCTATCGGCCATTTGAAGCACCACCGAGGTTGGCTTTAACTCATTTAACCCCAATTGGACATACACAGAATAAGGAATCAAGTTAACACTTGAACCTAAGTCAAAAAGAGCTCTACGGATCTCGTGATTTCCAATTACACATGAAATAGTTGGAGCACCGGGGTCTTTGCATTTGAGTGGAGTATTTTATTGAAGAATAGAGCTCACTTACTCCGTGATGAACACTTTCTTAGGACCTTGTCCTTTGTTCCTCCTCTTTTGTGTGCAAAGATCTTTCAAGAATTTGGCATAAGGCGGCATTTGCCTAATTGCATCTAAGAGGGGAAGATTTATGTTCACTTGCTTGAAAACATCCATCATGTCAAGTATTTTCCCATCTTGCCTCTCTTGAGGCGAGGTTTCTCTCAAAGCATAAGGGAAAGGAACTTTTGGCTCATGACATTTTGGCACTTGAGAAGATAATGAAGATTGAGTATTCCGATTTGGAACATTCTCATCCAAAGAGATAGGTATGGAATTGGAATTTTGATAAATGACAACATTTAGTTGCACCGATTCACTATCCTCCTTTGGCAACTCAACCTTATTGTCAACTTGCTTACCACTTCTCAAAGTAATGATTGCTTGTGTTTGAACTTGTGAGGCATTCTCCGATGTAGAGTTTGCCTCCACACAAAATTGAGCTTTTCGGTTCCTCTCGGGTTGACTAGGTAACTTACCCACTTCCCTTGCATTCAATGCATTAGCTATGATCCCGATTTGGGACTCTAGCTTTGATATAGATTGAGAGTGTGAATGCAACAAATTTGTGTTCTTCTCTAGGCCAAAGCCATTAAAACCTTATCTTCAAATGTAGAATTATTATGAAGTGCATGAGGAGGATGATGCTCCGTTTGGAATTCATACATTTGAGGATGTGAAGAATTATTCATTCTTTGATGATATGAAGGAGTGAACCCTTGAAAACTTTCATTTCTCTTGTGAGGTGGAATGTACTTGTTTTGAAAATTCTGAGCTTGAAAGGAATTTGGATGTTCATTCCACCTTGGAACATAAGCATTAGAATAGGGATGAGCAAATGTAGCATTGACTTGTTCATAGTGTTCATTATAAGCATGTCCATGGGGACAATCAAAAGTAGTGTGCAAAACACTTGAACATGTCATACAAGGCTCATACATTTGAGAGGTATGATGATGAGGATATGAATTGTTAGTCGGTTTTTGATTTAACAAGAATTGATCAAACTTTTGAGAAAGAGTTTTAATCTCGGCTACAATTCCCATTGAACTCTCTATTTGACAAACTTGAGAATTTTTCTTCTTCTCTTTTCTTTCATGGTCAATTTGAGAAGTATAAAATTTTTGTAAAGAGTTTTCGCTCATCTTCTCAAAGAGTTGCCAAATGTCATCCTCATGTTTCCCAAAATATGATCCTCTATATGATGTATCAACAATGTCTTTATGAATGTCGAATAGGCTCTCATAGAAGCATTGAACCACTTGCCATTTTGGAATGCCATGATGTGGGCATTTCCCTAGCAAGTCATTCAATCTTTCCCAAGCCTTATGTAATAACTCCCCTTCTTTTTGAGAAAAAGTTCTAATTGAAGTACGCATAGCATTGGTCAAACTCTTGGGATAAAACTTTTTTAAAAATTCATTTTGCATTTGCATCCAAAAAGTTATAGAATTTGCTTCCAAAGTATTGAACCAATGCTTTGCCTTGCTTTTGAGTGTGAAAGGGAAAAGGAGTAGTCTAATCACTTCCTCCGGAACATTCATGTATCTAATGGTGGAACATATTTCAAAGAATTCATTTAGATGCTTATAAGGCTCCTCATCATTTAGACCATAGAAAAGTGGACACAATTGAATAGTTTCGAGCTTGATTTCATATTGATTTGTCTCGAAATTAGGCAATATGATACAAGAAGGTGCATGGTATGCATGGAGATTATAATAGTCACGAAGTACCATTGGAGGCATTGGAGCTTGAGCTCCGAGACTGTATTGATCGGGAGGGAGGTTTTGCATGAAATGCAGGTCTAGGTAGCCAAGATTACCCTCTAGGTTTTCCATGTGAATGCCTAGAGTGAATGATCAAGTAAAGACTACAAATCACAACAAAGCAATCAAACAAACACTTCTCCTCCACAACAAGTCAAATATCAACAACTTCCTCCATATACAATAATTCCCATACTCCCATGCTTTCAATGATATGCAATGCCACCACGTGGGCCCCCGATTTAACTAAGGAGATTGAGTAAGAAGGTCTCACAATGGTCCTTTAGCACTTCAACTCCAAATTTAAAAGCTTAGCTTAGCAAAAAAAAAAAATTTAGCAACTCTTCATTTTTAGCATTTTTTTTCCTTTTTGCTTGCTTTGCTCCTTAGCTTTGAAGTTCTTTGCTAGCTCCTTGCTCAATGCACCTTGTTAATAAAGAACAAACTTAATAAGTAATAAAAAAAAAATAGAAAATAAAAAGAAAGTAAAGACACGATCAAAAGAGTACTAATCCTAATTGAATTTCACAATTCGACGTTGCCAATTTAAAATCCCCGGCAACGGCGCCAAAAACTGACCGGTCCTTTACAAGGGTCGCGATACCAAGCCAAGCTTGAAGAGTTGTGAATTTAGGAGGTGGCCAAGTTTTACATTTATAAAAAGCCACTACTACCTTTCTCTATATAAAATATAGATAGGGCGAGTAGGGATCGTCCCAAGGGATTGATGGTGTATCGAATTATGAAACTATGGTAATTAGGGTTAGTAGGTCGAGTGATCACACAATTGATTGGTTGGTTGATTATACTAAATGAGCTAAACTATAATAAAGTAATGCAATAAGATAAAGAGTAAGTAAGAAGGAAAGGTCTTGGGGTGTAGAGATCACCACCAAACAATACTATTTCAAACCATAATCAAGTGACTAATGAGGGAAATGAATGTGTTGCAACAATGTTGTGTGTGTAAACGACATTCAATTGGTAAGGGTGACTCAACAAGTGCAAATTGTCTCAATCAACATGTGTGAGGCCACAATACATCTATTGGTAGAGGAATATATTGTCTAAACATCATGTGAAGATAACAAAATAACAATTCAAGTCATTTAACCTTTCATTAAGCTCATAGTCCAAGCAATCCATAAGGATGATTTAGTTAAACATGCATTATCTAAACATCTTGTGAGAGGTACAAAATATCTATTGGGAGAGGAATAAATTGTCTAAACACATGTGAAAGATACAACATATCATAACTAGTCATTAATCCTTCATTAAGCTCAAAATTCCATTACACCACAATATTAGAGCATATGCTTCTTGCATTCAAAAGCATGGAACATCAAAGAACAAGCATGAATTGTTTCCCCAACTAACACTACACTACTTAAAAGAGAAGCACAATCCATCAAGGAATAAGTATGAACCATCTAGAGACATAACAAGAGCATTACATTAAGAACTTCATATTTTGACAATCTCAAGATTAAAGGCATTAATACACATAGACATGCATCAATAACATTAAATCTAGAGGTGAGCATCTACTCTAGCATACATAGACATATAGATAGAGAAAATGATCAATTAGAAGCATTAATCCATAGAACTCAATGAATAATCAAGATCTTCATAAGTTCAAGAGTCAAAATATGCATTACAACACAAATCCCTCAAAATTACACAAGATTAGGTAAAGAAAGCATGTTTGGGGCTAACTCTAGCCCCAAAAGGATGTCTAACCACTCATGATGATGAAGCTCCAACCCTCAAGGGCTAAATCCATGGTGAAAATCTGCTCCTTGATGATGAAGGTCTCCTCCAAAGGTTGCTCTAGCTTCCTCCCTTCTTTCTCTCCAAGAATAGCTTCCAAGATGATTTTCAATGTGTGACAAGAGACTCCCTCAAAAAGTGTATCA